GAAAAGGCTTTTTTGATGAGGTTGGTAGTTGTCATTTAAAACAAAATAAATAATACTGTATTATATAATACTAATTGGTTTTATATTCAATAGGCAATGAATTATTGTAAAACTAAAGCAACACTGATTGTTAAGTGCCATGGTATAACTAAATTCCCAGATAATGGAAATTATGCAATAGTTTTAAATTATTTATCAGAAGGAAATTTAAGGGATTATTTACAAAACAATCATTTAACATTAAAAGACAGAATTACAATCTTTCATTATTTATGCCATGCATTATACCAGATACATTCAAAAGATTTAATCCATTGTGATTTACATAGTGGTAATATGCTTATGGAAGGAGATGGTTGCTATATTACAGATTTGGGATTATGTGGACCAGTTGATGAAAATTCATCAAATAAAGTCTATGGAATTGTATCATATGTTGCACCCGAACTACTTAGAGGTAAAAACACAAAGAACACCAAAGAAACTGATATCTATAGTGTTGGGATGTTAATGTGGGAAATATTTGCAGGACATCCACCATTTGATGATAGATCTCACAATCATCGTTTGATTTTTGATATATGTGAAGGTTTACGACCACCAATACTACCTGGAATGCCTGGTGGTTGTGTGCAAATGATGCAGAGGTGTTGGGATGTGGATCCATCAAAAAGACCAACTAGTAGAGAACTGGCTGATTTTGCTAGATATAAATGTAATGAAATTATTAAAAATAATAATAGTAATAATACTACTAGTAGCAGTAGTAATGGTTCACAACAAGCACACAAACCACATCCAGATGCATATCATAAAAGTAGAATCTTAGATGAAGAGATTGCTAAATCTAAAAGCTTGAAAATTTATACAAGTAATAGTTCGTTAAATAATCTTGATTGTGACTCTTTTTTCTAAATGTTAACAAAGGTAAATAAAAAAATTTCACTGCTTATTAATTAGAAATTACTACTTATTAATTATTACCAACAATATTAATCAATTAAATTCTAATAACAATAGTAAAAGAATTGATGGATGACTAATTTAATCTCCACTATAAATTTATTCTTTATTTTTTTATTTATCTTTTTATTTCGTCCTTATTTTATTTCTTATCTTGTAACAATATTTTTGAAATAATATTTTTACAATTTTTCGATTATTGTTAAATGGTGATATTGCAAGGTATCATTTGGTTAATTAACAATTATGAGCTAACTTTTGGGCTACTCTTGTCAGTTAATTCACAATAATTCGGTGCTTGTCAATTAATTAGTTTATTAATTTACGAATCTGTGAGCACCCTCCTCCTGAAGATCAATTGCATTATATCGTCGGAGGGACAAGTCAGATATTAGCCTTATGTGCTCAAGGAATAACAAATAAGTTTCCAGTAATCAAAATTGTATATTAAATTGTTTGGTGTTTCCGTGTTTCAAATTGTCCAAGTATCTATGAGATAGAGATCTCTAATAACAAATAACACAAACAATCATAATCTTGTGTACTTGCTCTCAAAAAATAGTTGTTGTAAAGAATGTCGGATAATTACCTATCATATAAAAGACTACAAGTTTTGCTCCACGTTTATTTAGGCTATTATATAAAAAATAAAGGCATAACAAAACAAAACAAATGAGTAAAATTAAAAATAAATAAAAAAAAAGACGCGTAATGTGTGGTACAAGAAGAATAGTAAATTTATAATTAAAATTTTGGGGTGGGTGTTTGGATATGAAATTTTATTGACCCTTTATTTTACAATTTTTAAATAACGGGTTTTAAAAAAGACAAGAGGGACCAAAAAACCGATTTATCAAAGTGAGTATTGTTAGAAGAGAGAGTAATTTGAGAACATTATTAAAAAAATGGCAATTATTGATCATTTTAGTTTCTACGTGATTTTCATATTTTAGTATTTAGATGATTTTGGATTTCCAAAATCATTGGCACAAATGCTTATATACTGATATTGAAGATTATGCAATTTTATTCAGCATCCGAGGTAAACTTGGCACCATCATCATCACTAAATACTGTTCGAATATCAGTAATAATATTTTCGATTTTTATAATAATAGCTGTGATGGGTAGGATTTATCGAAAGAAAAAATTCAGTTCCAAGTGATGTTTAGAAAGTCTAGTGAACAACAGCTTCAGCACAGGAATACTCTGTCTTATCTGAATACTCCAAGCGGGTTGTAGGAATGCCTGGTGAAGAATAACTTCAACGATACAAAAAACTAATATGCTATTGTCATGTATTTATTTTGTTTTATTTGATTGGGTTATCTTTGCTTAGTATTAGGATTTGATAAATAAATATTATAATTTCCCATACATAACCAATTGATTAAAAAATAATAAATTTAGGATAGCAAAACTTTATTATTACTGATGCATTTATTTATTTTCAGACTCAAGAGGAAGATTGCAATATATAAATAATAAACTAGAGAACCACTGATGTGCTTTTTTTATATTAAACAAAGAATTTACAACACTATGATCTTAAAATAAAATTATTTAGGTATATAAAAAAAAGATGTATTTTTCTTGATTGATTAACATTTCAATGTTTCAATAACGACGATTCTAAAAAATAATATTCAATTTATTATTTAATTGATCCCTTTTTGATGACATATAAATATACATATATTTTTTCTAATGATAAACATTATTTTACAAAATTATATTTTAAAAATTTTAAAAATTTAAAAATCATAGTGAAATCATGAATTAAATTAATTATCATTATCATAATCTTCTAATGAAACTTGATGTGATTCATCTTGAGAAACTGGACTATAATTATATCTATTGGCAGATCTAGAACCAAAACCTGGTATAGAAAGTTTCGAGAAAAATCTTGAAACAGATCTTGGCACTCTGATCGAGTAAAAAATATCTTTGATTGTTGATAAAATTGATCCAGAACTGTGATATGTATCTCCAAGACGAATATGACTAATTATAACAAAAGGAGAGAACAAAAAAAAATCAATATAATTAATTAATCAATAATAATCCACAAAAAAAATAAAGACTATCCTTACCCTCTTGAACCTCCACCATTTTTGTATATTAAATATGCTGTCGTGATTCCTACAGAAATAAATATTACAATAATAAAGAATACCCAGAAACTTGTTGAGCCAACTATTCGTCCAGGACATGGTATTTTTTCACCCATATAATTCTCTTCGCCCCCTTTACATGAGCTCATTTTAACCTTTCTATACCTATATAATAATAATATGTGGTAAATAAACATCTAAAAAGCATTTTACTAAATAAAATATCTCCTATATAATAATAATATTTAAAATTACCCTATTGATTTATAATAATGATCACTACTAGAACACATATCATTTGGATCTTCAGCCAAAGGCTGGGCACCAGGAAATAATTCACATTTATCACTACCATTTTTATGGACATAATTGTAATCGCTTTAAATATAAATAAATAAATGGTTACAATTTAGAAATTAGTAATGTTAATTGGGTTCTGAAACAAAAGTTCTTTGACTTACCATTCAAAGTCATGCATGGTGCAAACACAATCCTTATCAATTGTTTTAGGTTGAATAAGTTCGTTGCCAATATAACAGTTCTTTTCAACTATTCTATGGTGATATCCACTCTACAAATAACAGATATTAAATTTTTATAATAAGAATGAAAACTTTTTAAATAAAATTTTTATTAGACATACCTCAGGACCAAACAAACATTTTTCTGATCCTCCTATGTGAGTAGGATACCATAAAACAAAATCATCATTCTCATCATCATTCATGTCCAATTTACCTTTTAATAAATAACATTAAAATTAAAATATATTTAATAAATATTTTAATAAAAAAAATTATTGATTGATTATGTGGAGGAAAAAAAATTCTTACATTTTCTTGAAAGCTTGCCTTCAAAATTAAGATGAATTATTACTTCTTTGTTATAGTTATTTTGAGGGCTACCTCTCAAGATAAACCTCCTACTAATTCCACCAGGTGCTTGCAAATCAAAGTTTTGCATAATGAACGTTTTATCAATTATTCAATAATTATATAGGCAGTTTGATCGAAGCAAATGTTAACAACGAGATTTATTTATACATTTATTTATATATAAATAAAATAATAGTTAATGAACTTTAATCAATATAGAGTCAAAATATAAAACTAATAAATACTTTTAGTTTTTGCTTAATCCAATCTAGATAAAATTCTTGACTATTAAATTTCTATAAAATAGTTTTTTTGTGAACCTATCTAAACTTATCAACCAACACCCCTATAAAGTAATAATCATGTGAATACTTAAAGTATTCTACACCTTGTCTGTTACTATCAAGTCTTTTAAAGCGATATTGAAAAATAATTTCAGCTTTAAAGCAAAAAAGTAATACCATTTTTGAATAGCCGTGGATTTATGTAGAGAAGACCTTTCAATATGAAAAATATTCATTAGAAAGCTTTTATGAAACAATTTTAATCATTGAGTTTGAGTCTATTATAAAAACAATGTGGTATTTTTAAAAAACAACCAGTTACACAAGTTGGAGAATTTTCACGGCCAAATTCCTCGTATATAAAGTAATAGTAAAAAAATCTTTACATTACATTAAAGCTAGAGACCTAATATTTTCTTTTTCCCGATGACGATGAAGGGGTTGAAACAGAAGATACGTTGATGATGTTCATATATATGACATAAGAAAGGAATAATATTAAAAAATATTATCATAAAAGAATTTGTTATTATTACTTTACAATAAAAATTTAAAATGTCATCAGTATTTCCAATTAACACAAAGTTGTTCCATCATTCCTAGTTTTTCGTTAACTTGAGGAATATAAAATAATAAATAATACATACAAATTAAAAGAAAATAATAGTAAAATTTTATTAGTAATTCAATTTTTATTTCCTCACAGTAGTTTAAAAGATGCAATTAGCAGAAGTAATGCCGGAAATTCTTTTTTAGTTCATGATCAGAGTTGTGTTGGTCTGGTCTCAGTCTCAAAGACCGGTCATTTGGGATAATTAAATATTGTTTAAAGACTAACTCAATAATATTTGGACGCGAATTACATACATATTGTGAAGGTAACTTTTTTGTCAATCTCGATTATTTTTACATTTTATGAGTTCACTCGTCGATTAACTGCAAGCTTTTATGTACCTAATCTATTTTACGAATTTATTTACACTTACTACCCTTTCTTATACCTATAAAGCTTTGGCGAATCTGTAAGCACATTCACTATGATACAAATAACGAATTTAATTATTTTTTGTTCCATCATATAATAATAATTTATAATTTTTTCCGTATCTTTTATGTAAAATTTCTATAATAATAGGGATGTAATACAATTGATACCATTGTCCTTAATTTGTAAAGAGTTAACAAATAAATAGATTGATAAATTGCAGCATCACCCAAGTAATGATAATACCAGGACCATGCAGAAATGAAAAAAAAAATAAAATGAGCAAATCTGATATTGATTATAGGCAGGGTTGGTATTGAACAATATCCTGGAGATTATACATGTCTGATTCCAACCCTGATTACATGTGTCAGATTTAAATAAGTTTCCTTTTGCAACACACAGTTACATGCTAAATGCTATCGCAACACACAGTTACATGCTAAATGCTATTGCAACCCATAAGTACAGAGCTGCTTGTACCACCATTATGGAGCCCCCGCATGTTGAAGACTTCAGACAAGTGAAAGGCTTTAACAGCCACCTTGACAATAATGCAATGCCATAAACCTGAGAGCTATGGTCATGGTCCCTCACCCTGAAGTTCAATTGCATTATATCATCGGAGAGACAAGTCAGATATTAGCCTTATGTGCTCAAGGAATAAGAAATGGTTTAACTATAAGTTTCCAGTAATCAAATTTGTATATTAAATTGTTTGGTGTTCCATGTTCCAAGTATCTATGAGATAGAGATCTCTAATTAATATTGATAACAAATAACACAAACAATCATAATCTTGTGTATTTGCTCTCAAAAAATAGTTGTTGTAAAGAATTTTGAATAATTACCTATCATATAAAAGACTACAAGTTTTGCTCCACGTTTATTTAAGCTGTTATATAAAATATAAAGGCATAACAAAACAAAACAAATGAGTAAAATTAAAAATAAATAAAAAAAAGACGCGTAATGTGTGGTACAAGAAGAATAATAAATTTATAATTAAAATTTTGGGGTGGGTGTTTGGATATGAAATTTTATTGACCCTTTATTTTACAATTTTTAAATAACGGGTTTTAAAAAAGACAAGAGGGACCAAAAAACCGATTTATCAAAGTGAGTATTGTTAGAAGAGAGAGTAATTTGAGAACATTATTAAAAAAATGGCAATTATTGATCATTTTAGTTTCTACGTGATTTTCATATTTTAGTATTTAGATGATTTTGGATTTCCAAAATCATTGGCACAAATGCTTATATACTGATATTGAAGATTATGCAATTTTATTCAGCATCCGAGGTAAACTTGGCACCATCATCATCACTAAATACTGTTCGAATATCAGTAATAATATTTTCGATTTTTATAATAATAGCTGTGATGGGTAGGATTTATCGAAAGAAAAAATTCAGTTCCAAGTGATGTTTAGAAAGTCTAGTGAACAACAGCTTCAGCACAGGAATACTCTGTCTTATCTGAATACTCCAAGCGGGTTGTAGGAATGCCTGGTGAAGAATAACTTCAACGATACAAAAAACTAATATGCTATCGTCATGTATTTATTTTATTTGTTTTATTTGATTGGGTTATCTTTGCTTAGTATTAGGATTTGATAAATATTATAATTTCCCATACATAACCGATCGATTAAAAAATAATAAAGAATTTAGGATAGCAAAACTTTATTATTACTGATGCATTTATTTATTTTCAGACTCAAGAGGAAGATTGCAATATATAAATAATAAACTAGAGAACCACTGATGTGCTTTTTTTATATTAAACAAAGAATTTACAACACTATGATCTTAAAATAAAATTATTTAGGTATATAAAAAAAAGATGTATTTTTCTTGATTGATTAACATTTCAATGTTTCAATAACGACGATTCTAAAAAATAATATTCAATTTATTATTTAATTGATCCCTTTTTGATGACATATAAATATACATATATTTTTTCTAATGATAAACATTATTTTACAAAATTATATTTTAAAAATTTTAAAAATTTAAAAATCATAGTGAAATCATGAATTAAATTAATTATCATTATCATAATCTTCTAATGAAACTTGATGTGATTCATCTTGAGAAACTGGACTATAATTATATCTATTGGCAGATCTAGAACCAAAACCTGGTATAGAAAGTTTCGAGAAAAATCTTGAAACAGATCTTGGCACTCTGATCGAGTAAAAAATATCTTTGATTGTTGATAAAATTGATCCAGAACTGTGATATGTATCTCCAAGACGAATATGACTAATTATAACAAAAGGAGAGAACAAAAAAAAATCAATATAATTAATTAATCAATAATAATCCACAAAAAAAATAAAGACTATCCTTACCCTCTTGAACCTCCACCATTTTTGTATATTAAATATGCTGTCGTGATTCCTACAGAAATAAATATTACAATAATAAAGAATACCCAGAAACTTGTTGAGCCAACTATTCGTCCAGGACATGGTATTTTTTCACCCATATAATTCTCTTCGCCCCCTTTACATGAGCTCATTTTAACCTTTCTATACCTATATAATAATAATATGTGGTAAATAAACATCTAAAAAGCATTTTACTAAATAAAATATCTCCTATATAATAATAATATTTAAAATTACCCTATTGATTTATAATAATGATCACTACTAGAACACATATCATTTGGATCTTCAGCCAAAGGCTGGGCACCAGGAAATAATTCACATTTATCACTACCATTTTTATGGACATAATTGTAATCGCTTTAAATATAAATAAATAAATGGTTACAATTTAGAAATTAGTAATGTTAATTGGGTTCTGAAACAAAAGTTCTTTGACTTACCATTCAAAGTCATGCATGGTGCAAACACAATCCTTATCAATTGTTTTAGGTTGAATAAGTTCGTTGCCAATATAACAGTTCTTTTCAACTATTCTATGGTGATATCCACTCTACAAATAACAGATATTAAATTTTTATAATAAGAATGAAAACTTTTTAAATAAAATTTTTATTAGACATACCTCAGGACCAAACAAACATTTTTCTGATCCTCCTATGTGAGTAGGATACCATAAAACAAAATCATCATTCTCATCATCATTCATGTCCAATTTACCTTTTAATAAATAACATTAAAATTAAAATATATTTAATAAATATTTTAATAAAAAAAATTATTGATTGATTATGTGGAGGAAAAAAAATTCTTACATTTTCTTGAAAGCTTGCCTTCAAAATTAAGATGAATTATTACTTCTTTGTTATAGTTATTTTGAGGGCTACCTCTCAAGATAAACCTCCTACTAATTCCACCAGGTACTGTAGCAATATCACGTACTCTGACAAGTTCAGTTGAAAATTTAAATTCAGACCATGATTGGCCTTCATCAAATGAATACCTACAAAATCAACATCATTCATATTATTCATATATTCATTATTGAATAATAAGATTCCGAAAAAAGGAGGGAATCGAATTGAAAAAAAACTTACAATACATGATCTGTAGGTGACTTATCATCCATTATAACTATAATTGCACCTTGATCTCCAAATTCATACATATAAGCACCTTTTTTGACTTCTCTCCATGTGAATCCTGCATCATTTGTCAGGTAAGTGTTACCCTCCGAGTATGGGGTTAAATAATCTCCAACATTCCCTACACCCATCATTAATCCAACAGCTGTACTACTACTGAATGCATCACGAGGGTCTCTTCTTTCTGTATAACTGTGAAGATGCAAATTACAATCCTAATAATAACAACAATGTAAATTACAGTGTTAAAAAAATACCAGTCATCTAATACTAAATTCATCATTTGCAAAAAGAAATTGATACAATACATTGCATTCATATTTTCGACCATTTGCATCTTCTTTAGGAGGATTTAAAAAGCTCCATGTGTTTCCTAATATTATAAACATCACATTTATTAGAAAGGAGAAATAACCTGGACTACTGTTCATTCAAGACTCTTAAGTTTCATGCCAAACCGCCTAAAACAAATATATATATATATATATATATATTCCTTGATAACTTACCATCATTAAATGTTATTTTAGATTTTAATTTTTTATTATTGCCCATATTAACTTCATGAACATTACCAACAATGTTTGCCATTGAAATTCCAACAATTCCTCTCATTTTCTCAAAATCAACAAATCCACAAACATCATGATTAACATGTTCCAATGAAAGTGAATGGTAAGTTCTGTTATAATTAGATTTTAAAATGTTTCCCCATTGATTATTCATTAACGATGATGTGGTAACATGAAGTATGATTGAATGTGTGGTAGATTCTAAAACAGTAAATGCCTTTTGAATTTTTGATTTGGGTGAAAAAAAATTGTGGGTTAGTAAATGATTAAAATGCTGTCAAATAATGTAAAAAATTATTGATATTGATATTGGTATAATTATAATTATTATTACATTATTGTTATTTGCATATTTGGTGGGAATTTCACATTGGCAAAAGTAATACCATCAATAGAAATCTAAAGATGAATATTTTGTCCTGAAGGTAAATGCTATATATGATAAACAACAACAATAATATAAATAATTGATAAAATAAAAATCAGTAATAATTGATAATTAATGACTAAATATTAGTAATTTAAACTAACCTCTGCAACCACCATATATTCTTCAAAGGTGGCAAGACCAATAATGTTATCAAATAATTTATTATTATTATTTTCTAATCTGAAATAGTCTGTACTAGAGATAAGTCGAAGTGGATTGTTGATAAATGAGAATTGTGAACCTGATTTTTCAAGATATGATTCGCAAAATATCAATGTGTCCGATGTCTTAAATTTAGCATCTCTTGCCCATGTACAAACTTTCACATATTTGTTTAATTCTGTCCAAGATTGTCCATTCGTTGTTGTATAATAAGCAACTGCGTGACAATTGGGTGAAAGAATAGACTCACAGTCTACACTTCCTGTATAAATTAACCAGTCTGGTTTAACAGGATGGAAATCAAGAACAGGTATTTGAAGCAATTTAGGATTCATTTCAACACTAAGTTTAATGAAATTGGCTCCAGAATCAATAGTCATATAATGTTCTTTTGAATAAGTAATAAAATATGCCTAATATTAGAAAGGAGGAAAAAAAAAACAAAAAAGTGTTGTTATTATTTTTATCCTGAAATAAATTTTTTTATAGTTACTGAATGCTTAATTTCTACTACTTACACGTTATTTGAAATATGGATTTTGGAACATTGCAATGATGTTAACACCTTTTTCCATAAATGAGGGCATTTTCCATATAAATCCTTGGTCATAACTTATCCAAACTTCGTTATTTAGTGTACGAATAGTCTCACTATTGCCAAAATAGATATAACCCATGATAATTGATTCAAATGTCATCTAAATAATATAAGTTTATAATGAATCTATATTAAAAAAGTCAGGAATATATGCTTGTTATGATCATGAAAAAGTATTACAATATACATACCATTGAAGTGACTATTTCAGTATCTATATAACATTAACATATAAAAACAATATATTTAGATATAAACAAATTATCAACGTGTTCATCAAAAAAAAACCTAATTAACGATTATTATTATTATTGAACGGTCACACTTACTTTCTGTGCTTTCACATTTCTTTTTAATTTTCTTTGTCCAGTCAACTCCACCTACACATTGTGATTTCGAAATTTCAACATATCCACTATTTCCTTCATATTCACCTATACATTTAGATGGTCGCTCTTCATTGTGACCATACAATTTACAAATATCCACCTTCATGCCAATAATTGAAAGCGCTTTTATTTTTTCAATTTTTTAAAAAATATATATTTCAAATTAATTAATCATAAAAATAAAATTAAAAAATATATATATGCATTTATGTATGTAAATTTTTACCATTTGAAATCAGCTTTAGTACATTGACATTTTTCTTCACTCTTATGAACAAGACCTTCCAGATCACCAATTCTACATTTTTTATCAGGTTTACGCCTCCAATATTTTGTCTAGCGTATATTAATTTATGATGTAAAAATGCTACATATTTTTAAAATAGTGTAAGAAAAAAATACCTTCATTCATTTTTTTTTACTATATAGAAGCAAGAATTTCCCAGCATGGTTGAAAATCCATTTGATTGGCTGATAATCTTCAATATCGTGATTGGTTAAATTGTATTACATTTATTAATTTTAATTATTGTGATCAATAAAATGTTTATTTTTTTTTTTACAATAGATTTCAATACATTCATTATTATTAAGTTGATTTTTTTTTCCTTTTTTTACAAAAAAATGCATCTCCATCATTTTGATCTTTTTCTTTCCTTTTTACAAGAAAATACATTCATCTGCAATTGTTATTTTATCCAACAAATGTTGAATTGACTTTAACAGTTAATGGAAACATGGATATTGCTTTTTAGCAATGATTTTGTTAACATTTTGTTGAGTAAATGAATGAATGGCATTGATTAATTGACAAAAATAGGGAAATGGGAAAAAATATCAAAATAAAAAAAATTCATATTGTGCTTATATTATTTTCTTTGAAATGAATGGTTTATTTAAAAAACATCAGATTGTTTTTTGTTGATATTGAATGTTTAATTAGCCAATAAATGTAAAAATTAAAATACATGTATAAATGAAGCTTTAAAAAAAAAAAATTTAATACATGAATAAAATTAGATTCTTTTTCTAAAAAACTTAAATCCCCATTGCTTAAAAAGTAAATTTTCTCAAAAATGCCAAAGTCAAAGTTAACTGGTCCTTGCTTTATTCATAATTGTTATAAAAATTCTAACAATTTTAGATGTTTATCTGATAGAGCTATAGAAAAAGCAACTTATAAAGGAAATCTTCAAAGATATCCTTATTTACAACAAGGTCAACAAATTTGTTTTCCCCATTACATGGCTATTGTTAAAAATCCTCCATCTGTTAAAGAAAGAGAAGAAAGAGAAAAAGAAATTATTCAATATATCAACCTAATTGAAACAAATATCATACCAGCATTTTCAACATCCTTTGACATAAATTTATCATTTGGTGATAAAATAAAAAAAATGACTAGAGTATTATACAATAAGAGGCATGATAGTCCTATATTAGATCCTGATGAGTTTAATAAAATGCTTAAAGATAATGATTCAAATTTAAAAGGCTTTTTCAATGAAGTATGTAATATATTAATACCAGAAGACCATTCAGAATATAATAAAAAGGAAGATAAAAAGAAAGTTGTTACAATTTTGTATTTGATGGCTGGAATCCGGAATAAACATGCTAATAATTTTAAATTAGAACTTGCCTTATATCTTATAGGATCAGGAACATCTTGTGATGGAATTG